TAAGCCCAAGAGTTTGAGGTTGCTGTGAGCTGTGACACCATAGTACTCTACTGAGGGCGACATAATGAGACTCTATCTCAATAAAAAAAAAAAAAAGAAGAAGAAGAATTTAATGAAGGGACTATTTATGGAGGTGGGAGCAGTGTAAAAGGACCAAGAAGGGACATTGAGACACCTGGAGATTAGCAACAGTGGGAAACTTCTGGTCCTAAAGGGTCAAGGGGAGTTTCTTAGTCCATTATTTGTTACTATAATAGCATACTTAAAACTGGGCAATTTATAAAGAAAAGCTTATTTAGTTTACCATTCTGCAGGCTGGGAAGTTCAAGATCAGGTAGCTGCATCTGGCAAGGACCTTGTGCTACATCTAAACATGGTCATCAGAGAGAGACCAGGAAAGAAATACCTGATGTCTCTGTTTTCCCATCCTCTGATCACCTGTTGGTGGCTCCCACTGAACAAACCCAAGCGGAAGTGGCCAGCAAGCCCCCCAGGGCTCAGAGCAAGGACAACGACCAGGTTGGGGGTCTAAGGGCAAACAGAGTAATCAGCACAATTTCTGGGACAGGTACCGGATTCCAGAGTTTGCAGCTCAAACATGACTCTTGAAACTGTTACTGAAACTAGCACATGAACATTGGGTGGTAGGGTCTGCCCAGAGCACTGGAGCAGGGTGAGGCAAGGTAGGGCTTTGTCCCCATGGCTGTGTAGGAAAGCAGGTGCACACTCTGTACTGATTGAAAAGTCAGGCTCTGAGTCTGCAGACCTTCCTATGTCCTTTCCAGCACTCTCACAGTCAGGCCAGGGGCACGTGGAATTGCTACATCTCCATAGTAGGGAGGATTGAGGAACCTGGAAGACTCTCTAGAGGTGAGGGTGTCTTTCTCTCCTCCTTAGTGCCTCACTGTCCTCTTGGGGACTGGTGAATGGGTGATGCCCACACAGGCCCTAAAAGAAGACAGAGGACAATGCTTCTGCAGATAAAAAGACAAAGAATGAGAAGATCTTTCCTTCCCTCTGCACCCCCATGTCTGAGCCCCTATGTGTCCCTGCAGGTGTTGGGGGCAATCTGGTGGCAGTGCAGGCCAGCCGAATCTCCACCTTCCTGCACATGAATGGGATGCCAGGGGAGAACACTGAGCAAGCTCCTCGCCGCTGCCCCAGTCCTTGTACCACCTTCTTCAGTCCTGGTAATGGCAGATTCTCAGCCTTGCAAGCCCATTCCAGCCCTGGAGAGAGGGTGCCCACAATCAATGAACCTCACTTAAGAAAGAGCTGTGGCCCAGATCCACAGGGCCTCCTTCTCTGCTGAGCTGTGCCAGCTATTGTGGAGGCGGGAAGGGTATCTTTTCTTGGGACTCCCTGGGGGCTAGAGACCACTGGGCAGAGAGGTAGAGACAGTTA